TTTTCTCTATATTTTGGGTTTGGGTCTGATAATTGAGGTCTTTAATCCATTTTGATTTGATTTTTTGTGCCTGGTGTTAGTCTTTCATTTTTTTCCCGCATGTAGCTGCCCAGTTTTCCCAGCACCACTTGTTGAAGAGGCTTTTCTTGCTTCACTTCATATTCTTGCTTCTTTATTAAAGATTAAATTATCATATATTTGAGAGTCTGTGTCAGGATATTCAACTCTATTTCATTGATCTGAGGGTCTTTTTATTTCAGTACCATGTTTTAACTACTACTGCTTTGTAGTATAGTTTGATGTTTGGGAATATGATGCTTCCCATCTTTTTCCCCCCAAAAAAGGTATTTGTGAGGATTTATTGTCCCATATGAATTTTAGGAGCGTTTAATATATCTTGAAAAATGTCATGGGTAAAAATGTTGTAGGAAATGCATTGACTCTGTACACTGCTTTTGGAAGTATGATAGTGTTAATTCTCCCAGTCCTTGAGCAGGGAATGTGTTTCCATTTCCTTGTGTCCTCTTTTATTTCTTGAAGTAGCATTTTGTAGTTTTCTTTGCAGAGAGTTAAGCTGATTCCAGTGTACTTTGTTTTCTGAGGCACAATTATGAATGGGATTTTTTCTTTAATCTCTTTCATTAATTGTATATAGGAAAGCCATGGACTTTTGTGTATTGCTTTTGTAATCTGTACTTTACTATACAAATCTACTGTTTCTAGGAGCTTTTTTTGTAGCCTGTAGAATTTTCTAAATATTGTCATGTCATCTGCAAATAGTGAGAACTTAACTCTTCCATTTCCTGTCTGGATCCCCTCAGTATCTTTTTTTTTTGCTTAACTGTTATGGCAAGTATTTCCCGTATCATATTGAATAGAAGTGGTGAGCTTGGGCATGGGCTGCCTTGTCTTGTGCTGATTTTAGAGGGAAGATTTTTCCAGTTTTTACCCATTGAGAATAATGTTTGCTGTGGGCTTGTGTTAAGTGGCTTTGACTACATTGAAGAAAGTTTCTTCAGCTCCCATTTTGTTGAGTCTTTTTATCATGAATGGATACTGGATCTTGTCAAATGCTTTCTCTACATCAAATGGTTTTTTTTTCCTACTTGATATTGTGTATTATGTTGATTGATTTGCATATGTTAAACTGTCCATGTATCCTCAGGATGAATCCTACTTGGTCATGGTGTATGATCTTTTCGATTAGTTATTAGATTCTACTTGCTAGGATTTTGTTGAGGATTTTTACATCTGTGTTCACCAGGGATATTGGCCTATAAGTGTGTGTGTATGTGTGTGGCACCTGTCTGCTTTTGGTATCAGGATGATGTTTACTGTTTGGGAGTTTTTCTGTTTCTTCAGTTTCCTCAGAGAGCTTGAAAAGGATTGGCAGTAGATCCTCTTTAAAGGTGTGAAAGAATTCACCATCTGGGTCTGGGCTTTTGTTTTTGGTAAGGCTTTTGATTACTGTTTCAGTTTCCTCAATAGTGACAGGTCTGTTCAGATATTCCAAGTCTAATTGGTTCATCCTTGGGATGTTATAGGAAACCAGGAATTTATCCATTTGTTCTAGGTACTCTTGTTTTGCAGCATAAAGATTATCAAAGTAATCTCTGATGAGCTTTTGAATTTCTGTGGTGATGTGTCCCCCCCCTCATTTCTGATTAGATTCATGAGGGTTCTCTCTCTCTGCTCTCTCTTTGCTCTCTCTCTTCCTCCCTTCTCCCCTCTTTCTCTCTCCTGTTAGTGGTTTATTGATCTAGTTTATTCTAAGAACTAGCTTTCGGTTTCGTTGATGTTTTGGGTTTTTTTTTGGGATTCCAGCTTGTTAATTTTTGCTTTAAGTTTTATTATTTCCTTCCTTCTGCCTGGTTTGGGCTCCTTTTGTTAATCATTTTCCTTTCTGATGAAAGCCTGCAGAGCTATAAACTTTTCTCTTTATACTGTTCTTGTGTTCCACATGTAGCTGGTTAGCTTGTGTCATCATTAACTTTTGTTTCCAGGAATCTTTTGACTTCCTCTTTAATTGTCTCTCTGACCCACTAGTTGTTCAGTAGTGAACTGTTTTATATTTAGGTGTTTGTTTTTATTCTCTGTTTCTCTGTAATTAACTTCTATTTTCAGTGCATAATGGTTTTAGAAGATAGTTGATACAATTTCTATCCTCTTGATTTGTTGTTGTTGTTGTTGTTGTTGTTGGCTTTTTGGCTCACACCTGGTGATACTCAGGGGTTATTCCTGGCTCTGCACTTAGGAATTATTCCTGGTGGTCCTCGGGGGACAGTATGGGGTGTCGGGGACTGAACCTGGGTTGGCCACATGCAAGACAAATGTCCTACCCACTGTACTATCACTCAAGCCCTAACTACCTAGCTGTCTTTTTGATTTTGGTATGTTTTGTGACTCAGCTTGTGGTCTATCTTGGAGAATGTCCCATGTGTATTTAAATGTTTTGCTGGTTCTTCATTGGGTGCAGATATGTTTTAGGAGTGTGATTTCTTCCTGATGTACATATCTCTTGATTATTAAGAAATGACCTTTGCTGTCTCTTAAAACCTTTCAACCTGAAATCTGTGTCGTCAGATAATAGTATGGCAACCCTTGCTTTTTTTTTGGGGGGGGGGGTTCACACCTGACGATGCACAGGGGCTACTCCTGGCTCTGCACTCAGGAATTACCCCTGACAGTATTCAGGGGATCATATGGGATGCTGGGAGACGAACCTGGATCAGCTGCGTGCAAGGCAACCGCCCTACCTGCTGTGCTATTGCTCCAGCCCCAGGCCTTGCCTTTTTTGAGGGAGTTGTGTTCTTGAAGAATTATTTTCCTATCTTTGACTTTGAGTCTGAATTTGCTCTGACTATTCAAATGTGTTTCTCGTAGGCAGCAGAATGTTGGATTCAACTTTTTAATCCATTTTGCCACTCTGTGTCTCTTAATTGGTATGTTTAGACATTGAGAGAGATTATTATTCTGGGGTTTTGTCCATCATTCTGTAAAATTTTGGTGTGTTTCATGGGGTTTGTCTTGCCTTAAAGTAACCCTTCAGTTCTTTCAAAATTGGTTTGAGTCTTTGAGTTCCTGAGCGGTTGTTTATCCATGAAGTTGTGTTGTGTCCTCAAGTCTTAATAAGTGTCTTGGCTGTGTAAAGTGTTGGTGAAATGCTGAGGCCAGTTGATAGCACATTGAGTAGGGTGTTTGCCTTGCACGCAGCCAACTCAGGTTTGGTCCCTGGTATCCCATATCTTCCGTTGAACACTGCCAGGAATAATTTCTGAGCACAAAGCCAGGACTAACCCCTGAGCACCACTGGGTGAGACTCAACAAAACAAAACAACTCCACTCAGTTATTTTATTTCTGGCCATTTACCTAAAAGAAATACAAGAACTGAGTTTAAGAACTATATGTACTTTTGTGTTTATTTACAATAATCAAGAACTGGAAAACTAAGTGCTTATATAATGGATAAAAAGTTATATACACACAGTGAAATACTATTTAGCTATATTAAAAAAAGATGAAATCCTGCCATTCCCAACAGTTTGAATTAACTCAGAGTGTATTATTCCTCATAAAAATAAGTCAGGTGGAAAAAGAGAAACACTGTATGATTCCACTCAAGTGGCACACAGTGAACACAAGCAAACAAATCTAAAACAACAAACTTTTGAAATATTAAATCAGTTAGTAGGATTGGGAGATATTATAGTGGGAGATAGTACCAGACCTAGGTTTGATCCCTGGCATCACATGGTTCCCAAGTATCACTGGATGTCACCCTGCAGGCCTGCCTGCCACTGCTGAGTGTGACTCTGGAGATCCCCAGGTAATTGCCAGCATTGCAGGGCCTGAGCAGGACAGTTCACTTTCATTGAACTACCAGTGGAGCCTCTGCCTCCTGAGCCCCTTTTGAGAAGCCCTCTCCCCAAAATACAAAACTCGTGGTTTCCAATAGAGGAGGACCAATAAGTCAGAAGAAAGGGGACAAATGTATGCTGAAGGATACATTTGAACTTTTAATGGGGAATTCATATATATGTGCTGGTTTTCAATGATGTACACCTCAAATTCATGTAATGCTACTTTAATAAAAATAAAGCTTTGTCTAGTTAATGAAGATTCTGCCTTATAGCTGTAAAAATAACTTCAAAATGAAGAACTATAAAGTTTTGAAGTATACTGTAACATTTAGTGAAAGGTAATTCTCAAATGGTGCTTTTTACTGACAATTTGTGTGTGTGTGTACATATATACATAATTTTTTTTTGTTTGTTTTTTGGGTCACACCCGGTGGTGCAAGATCATATGGGATGCCGGGGATCGAACCTGGTTGCAAGGCAAACGCCCTACCTGCTGTACTATCTTTCTGCCCCCAATGTTGTTAATTTCTTATGAGTTTTTGGTTGTATTTGAATTGGTACTTCAATTGAATAATATGATTTGAATTTAATGTGCTTAAATCTAATGGGTTGTATAGATTCCCACCTTTGCTTGATTGGCATTATAGAAATATAGAAAATGACATTATAGAGGAGTAGAAATTGGCGTAATTAAAGAAGTTTAGCAATCATTTTGTGTCCTGGAAAACATTAAACATCAAAATACAGTCAAGTTTGTTTCTTGACAGTTTTTTTTTTGGGGGGGAACTTTAAATTCATGCTCAAATTGATACTGTTTTTAAAACACAATTGGAAAAAATTTATCAAAGGTCTGACAAGTTTCATGTAATTAATCCTACTCCTTTTAAAAGATAATTTCATAAGTTAAATAAGTAAAAAAATATATGCACACGTGTAGCTGTTCTGCCACCTAAAGTGTTTATTTGCTTTGTTTAATGTTATGTATACTAAAATATTAATTTTTTTAATAAGATAGGTTTTGAGCTGATTTTCTTTGTTCCAATTGGTAACATTTTCCTCTGCAAAATTTTATTAGATTCTTAATCACATCACAGGTTTCATGATATATTTAAAACACATACCTAGTTTTGGTTCTTTTTTAAAAACATGTTTTTTATGTTACTTCATGAGTCATTTACTTCTGGGACATTTTCTCCTATTAATTACGAACTTCCTTTTCCTCTATTCTACTCAATACCATTTGGATTATTCTAAAGAAAAAAAAATCCTATAATATGACAAATCAATCCAAGAGGGTCTTTTCTTTGTCTCCCATTCTTCCATTTGAAGCTTTTTATTTATTAATTTTTGCCAGTGAGTGCTTTGTTGTGACTGAGGCTCAGCTCTTGACTGCACATTTGCAGGGTGGGGGACAGCAGCTCCTTCCGCTGCTGCCTCTTGGTCTTCAGCTCTCCTCTTGCTTGTTGAGTCCATGGTGTTTTCTTGGGCCACAAATCCAGGGTCTTGTATTTCTTGCCCTTGTAGAATTTTCTGAGGTTCTCTTTCTGAGTCTGGTTAATAACTGCAAGAACATAGGCGATGGATTTGTGAACAACTCTTGGAGACCTTAGAAATGAGCCGCCTCTCACTTTGGTGACACATAGCTGGAACAATGCCACCCTCAGGTCATCCACTTGCTTGAGCAGCTCCTTCTTGCCAGGAAGGTCTTGGGCCTTAATCTTGGCCATGCTGCTCAAGCTGCTGCCTTTGACACCTGTTCACTGAGGCTTTTCCCAATATTCTCCCTTCATAGTTTCAAGTCACTCAATATTTAAAAAACTAATTAAATTTGGGTCTCCAGGGGTGGGAGAGAGAGTACAGTTTATAGGGCACTTGCCTTGCATGTGATAGACCCAGGAGTAAGCCCCAAACAGTATCAGGTGTGACCTTAAACAAGAAATTGGGGGTTTCCCAGAGGTTCTTGGAACCACCAGGGATAAACCCATGAGTGGGGGGGCATGTGGTATCTGGGATTGAATGAAAATCTGCTCCCACTTAAAAAAAATTACTCTTCCCTGTTTGTTGTTGATGTTAAGACTGGAGAGTGCATATTTATTTGATTGCTTTTTTCTTCTTTTTTTTTTTTATTTATTTGGGCCATATCTAGCAGTGCATGGGACTACTCAGAGTGTGTGCTGGGGTGTTGAGAAGGTTACATTTTTTTAAATTACTGAATTACCATGAGGTACAGTTACATATTTACAAACTTTTGTGCTTGCATCTCAGTCATACAGTGATCAAGAGTACCCATCCCTCCACCAGTGCCTATTCTATACCACCAGTGATCCCAAATACTCCCCACCCCACCCTGTCTCTGTGGCAGGGCATTCCCTTTTGTTATTTCTTTCCTTTTGGGTGTTGTAGTTTGCAATAGAGGCATAGAGTGGCCATTGTGTTTGATCTATAGTCTACATTCGGCATGCATCTCCCAACCCTGGCGGGTCCTCCAAAGAGAAGGTTACATTTGGTAGTGCTTGGGGAACTATGAATTGCTATAGATTGACCCTGAAACTCTGGTACATAAAGTATGTGCTCCAACCCTTTGAACTGTCTTCCCAGCCCTATTTGTGTGTGTGTGTGTGTGTGTGTGTGTGTAGGGTGGGGAAGGGGGTTCCTCAAATAGTGCTCAGGTGTCCTTACAGGTTCTCAGCCAATTGGATCTGATGTTTTGTGCCCATGAATTTGGTACAGCTTGGATCCTGCACTGTTGGGGATTACGTGGACCCTTCCAGTGGAACTCGAGACCTCCAGGGCTCCACCTGGTGATGGTGGGATCATCATGTGTTGGGATTAAACCAGGGTCTGCCACATACAAGGAATGCACCTTAACACCTCCACTGTCTCTCCACAGACCCACTATTTTTTTCCTTGTTTTCTTGTTTTTAGACCATATCAGACTGTGCTCAGGTCTTAGTCCTTGCACTGTGCTCAGGGATCACTCCTGGCAGTGCCTGGGGGACTTTTTTCTATATTCTTTAACTGCTTTGTATCTACAACCACTTGAAGGGGAGGCTATCCTCTTTGCCAAGAAAGAACAAATGAAATACAAAGTGAAAGAAATGGATAAAAATTGGAGTGGAAATAAATTACATAGAAATAAATCTAACATATCAGTGAAACCAAGAGCTATGGTATTTTTTTTTTTTGGGGGGGGGAGGGTCTACCATTACCAAATAGCTACTTCCAGCTCTGTGTTCAGGTTGCTTATTGGGGAACCATTTGATGCCAAAAATTGAGCCTGGGCCTCCTGCATGGAAATCATGTGCTCAACTTAAATCGAGCTATATCTCTGATTCAAGAGCTCAGCTGTTATTTGTAAAGAATAAGTGAGATATAAAATCTCACTGAGAAAAAAGAAATCCAGTAAGTCGAATTAGAAATGAAAAGGAGAAGTGACAACAGATACCCAAGAAATACAAAAGATCATAAAAGATTTCAATGTGCCTTTATGCCACTAAACTGAAGAATTCAGAAGAAGTGGATGGATTTTAGACTCATAAAAATTATGTCCTTGGGGAGTTGGAGAGATAGTTCAGCAGGCAGGGTGCTTGGCATTGTTTGTGGTTAACCTGGTGTAAATCCTTGGCACTACATATGGTTTTCTGAGCTCCTCCAGTAGTGATCCCTGAGTTCAGAGCTAGGAGTAAGTAAGTCCTGAGCACCATCAGGTTTGACTCAAAACCCAAAACAGTCAAAAATCTTTTTGGTCTGGAAAGGTTATAATGAGTAAGACTCACCTTGCATATGATCCTCAGCCCTGCCTGGTGTCATTCCTGAGAGCAGAGCCAGAAGTATTTACTGAGCACAGTCAGGTGTGGCCAAAACCCAAACAAACAAAAAACAGTCCTTGGGAGGATTTTCACCCACCTAAAGAATGAAGTATGAGAAAATAGAAAACTTTCACAGACCTGTTACTAGGAAGGAAATTGACTCAGTAATCAAAAACAAAATTCAGAGCCAGACAGGTTTACTAGTGAGAGGTTTCATTATCTATCCTTCCTAATTTCTTCTAGAAAATTCAATAAACAGGAATTCTTCCTAATAGTTTTGTGAGGTCAGTATTAGTCTAATATCAAAAATAGAGACGTTTCTAATAAAATTATGGGCCAATATTCCTGATGAACGTTGATGCAGAATTCTGAACAAAACATTAGTGCACTGAATTCAACAATATATCAAAATTATACACCATAATCAAAAGGGATTCATTCCAAAGACACAAGGATGTAGTTCACTATTTGCAGATTAATAAATGTGATATACCACATCAACAAAAGATAAAACTTATAGGATCATATCAACAGATTATTTTGATAAGCATGTGATAAAGGCTCTCACCAAAAGGGCTAGAAGGAATATTTCTCAGGATACTTAATGTTCACTGCAAGAAACCTAAAACTAACATCATAGTGGAAAAAACTCAAGAGTTGGACCTGAAAAGTATTGTAAAGATTAAGGTGATTTCATTGTATCCCACTGACTCTGCTTCAAATCCCCAGCACCCTTATGGTCCTCTGAGCATTGCCAGGTGTGCCAGGTGTGCCAAAGAGCCAAGAGTAAACCCTGAGCACCTGTGTGTGTGTCCCCCAAACAAAACAAAACGAAAGATAACATGATAATATTAATATGATGGACCCTAAAGACTTAACAAAAGCTAAAAACAACAATCAATACAAAATCAATACAAAATACCCTGTTCCATTTCTATATGCAAACGAACTAGAAGAGAAGTAAAAGGCAACCCCATTTAAAATAAATCTAAGAATAAAACAAGTATTTTGGATATTAAAGATTTATACATGGAAAGATTTATACATTGAAAATTATGTCATATTGAAAGAAATAGATGGGGAACCAAGGAAATGGAAAAAAAACAGGCTGTCATGGATTGGGGAATTGACATTGGCATACATTGTCAATGGAAGAGTTGGAAGAATTACTGTCAAAATGATCATATAAAATATTCAGATTCAGTGTTTAAAATATGCAGATTCAGTGGGTGCTATCTCTGTCAAAAATTCCACTGACATTCTTCAAGTTCTTAGAGGAAAATAATACTGTTAATGTGCATTGAACCATAGTATTCTCCAAAGAGCCCACGCAATGCTAAGATAAAAGAAGATGGATTGGATTGCATTATTTAATTTTAATAAGGCAATAGTAATAAAAATTTTGTGGTATTGGAATAAAAGACATATCAATGGAATAGAATTGAGAACCCAGAAATAAACTTTCAAATATATGGACATTTTACCTATGACAAAGGAGTGAGGTGCATGAATTGGAACAAGGAAAGCCCTTTCAACAAATGGTGCTGGGAAAACTGGATACACCACACAGAGATACACACACACACACACACACACACACACACACACACAGCTAAATCTCTGTCTTACACCATAAAAGTTCAGATTGGGTTAAATACTTTGAAATGGGCAGTCACACCCATGAACCACCTACAGCACCATCTAAGCTTAGATCTACTGACCATGTTCTAGAGACTCATAAATAAATCTTGAAGGAGATAACAAGCTATGATAGATTTTTCTGCGCATGGCTGAGATGTCTAGGGCATCCTGCAGGAATATGGGTTCTGGGCTGGCCCACTCAAACAGCTCCAACAACTACACAAAGTGGTATGGAGACATTGCTAAATAAGTAAAAAATAGTTTCCATGTGGTTCTAGAGAGTCTCTTGCCCCTGCGCCTGGCTGTCCTTGCCGGGGCCCCTTGTAGGGGAGCGGGTTGAGTTTTCCTCCCTGCCCTGACTAGGGCTCCGGCAGCCAAGGACCTCCAGCACCAGCCACCACCATGCTGAGACCACTCTCCGCATGCATGAAGGCACCGGCATGGGAACAAAGGCACGCAGGTCCCGGGGTTGAGATCTCCAAGCCTACTCGGATTGGGGCTGAGCATCCTCCACCCAGATCCTCCAAATTCCAGTAGGCGGGGGTCATACCCACCAACTGGCCCCCTGGCGCCGTGTAATCCCATCAACGGTCAAGACTCAGAGACTATAAAACCCAGCTCCCGGAAACTGACATTTTATCATCTTTTTTTTTAATGTTTAAAATGTTTAATTTATATATATATGTATATATATATATATATATATATATATATATATTATTAGTGAAGCACCATGAGGTACAGTTGTAGATTTACAAATCTTTGTGCTTGGGTTTCGGTCATACAATGATCAAATACCCATACCTCCACCAGTGCCCATTTTCCACCACCATGGATAATATCCCCCCAACCCCCCCTCACCCTGCCTCTGTGGCAGGGCGTTCCCTTTTGTTCTCTCTCTCCTTTTGGGTGTTGTGGTCTGCAAAAGAGGCATTGAGTGGCAAACCTGTTCAGTCCATAGTCTACTTTCAATATGCATCTCCCCTCCTGGGAGGATCCTCCAAACAGCCTTTATTTGGTGCTCCCTTCTCTATCTGAACTGCCCTTTCCCATAGAATACCCGGCTGGCCTCTAAGCTATGGAGTAATCCTCCTGGTGTTGATCTCAGCTATTCTTGGGTATTAATCTCATATTTTGTTACTTTATATCCCCCAGATGAATGCAACCTTTCTATGTCTATCCCTCTCTTTCTGACTCATTTAGCTTAGCATGATACTTTCCATATTGTACCACTTGTATGTAAATTTCATGACTTCATCTTTTCTAACAGCTACATA